ACATATATTGAGGAGAAAGGGTCCAAGTATGGCCGATGTGGGACTCCAAACCCCCCCTTTGGTTAGTCTAGATGGGTACAAATGCCTCAGAGTGTGGAGTCCTAGTAGACCTTGGCTCTGATAGCATGTGAGAATATGTGGATCCCCATTAGATTACTCTCCAAAAGAGCCCTTGAGGAGAGAAGGGGGGTTCCAACGTATATTGAGGAGAAAGGGTCCAAGGCGATGTGGGACTCCAACAACAAAGCTTGTTCTTGGACTCAACGTTAACTTTTGGTTAGAAAGGAGTAACCTTTAACGGTTGCTTCAATACTAGCTGCTATGCATATGGTTCATAATTGATATACACAACTTCACCTAGGAAATAAAGTTGCCACACCTCTTTCTGTTCTAAACGTTTATTTAACTCAAGTAACTCCTTGTCCATCGAGTCCTGAAGAAGGGTATGCTCCCACTCTTTTGCTGCTTCTTCCTCTATGACACCAGAATCACCTATATTTATTAGCAACAAGTCATGAAAGAAAAAAGAGGAACACACAAATATGTTTAGGAACACAATAAAAATTAGATTTCATAAGAAGATCCAAAAAAGTAGCCAGATTTATCCTCTAATTCTACTAGGAAATTTGTTGTTACAAAAACGATATTCATTGTGAGAAAGGGTTCCACTAGGCTAAATTTAGACCAAGTAAGAAGACCTACCACTTTCCCTCATCTGATAATCAGATGAATCAACACTTTGCAATCCCCTTTTAAATCCGTCATTTTTCATGCAAAACGAATCACCAACCTGCAAAATACCATGCTAGCTAGATCGGCACCAACTCAAATGATAACACAGTTCTTGCAGCAGGATTGGTTATGTTTATAAACGGAGCCAAACACAGTTATTCTACTTTAGCAACCTTTTCAGATTGATCAATAGCAATGGCTCTGCTGCGGTACTCACGAAGTTCCCTACATAACTCCTGATTAGTAGCTTCAAGCCAAGCAATCCGCTCCCGTAGACCCTGATAAAAGTTGAAGTGACACAACAATTTTTTAAGAATCAATGAATAGTTTCTTCACATAAAAGAACTATGAGTATTATACCTGTAATTCAACAGAAGAACCTCCACCACGAGCACCAAGTTCTGCTTGCAAGCATTCTAGTTGCTGACGCATCTTTAACATTTCACTGGACACTGGATCCCTATTCACCTGCTCAATGGTTTAAAAATAATGCTATATGATAATGCCTTCAAGAATAAAGCAATTCCTGCCGATGCAGAGAGTGCGACAAGAGATAAAATATACACTGTACACATACCACGGGTTTATTCTGGATGTTCCGAGCACGGTTTGCATACTTCAACGTGTTCAGAGTTTCCTCAGCATTTATATCAGCAGGACTGACACAAGCTGGAAACATGTAAAATTATACTTTAACTTGATAGCAAAAGGGTCTAGTTATAGCTAAAAATTTCAAAAGAGAAACAATAAACAGTCATAAAGAAATTCTTAAATTTGGGACTTGAGAAAATGCTGTCTAGTTGACCAAATAATATCATCTATTATTGTGAAAAATACAATTTAAAAACAAAATAGCTGTCTAGTTTTAAGACGTTACCTATCATAACCGTTCTGCTGTTCCCACCAAGTGAGTCCTGCCAGTTCAGTAAAATATAGATTAAACTAAAAAACAAGAATCAAGTTGCATAACCAATGCTAGATCATTTTAGACAGCTGACTGCAGATACTGAATACTGAGGACGTGGGTTGTTCACAATCCACAACTTCAATTGTTAGCCACTACATGAAACAAATTGGAAACTTGATTTACATTTGCAAGCTTAATAATATTGTCAAACCTGCAAGAGCCGAGTAAGTTTACTATCTCGATATGGAACATGAGCACCTTCTTTCCGTTTTTTCTCATCACCAAGAGCACTGATAACATTTCCAAGTGCAAGAAGGCCCTTGTTAATATGAACTCCTGCTCAACAAATGAAGTTATCAAGAAGGGTTGCTCTAAGCATTGGCATATAAAAACAAGTGAAAAACCATCAGCACCTACCTTCTTTAAAACGCATACCATCAGAACCCGTCCTTTTAGCTCGCTCTGATCCAGCAAGGTCAACTAAATGCAACTTGGCACAAAGATATTCGTCACATGTAGAATCATTTGAATTTCCATCACCAGGAATATTCGAGTTTGGCTTGCGCATTTGTTCCAATGTGATGGTGAATATTGCATGTGAACGACTGCATAAAGAGTCGAAAATGTCAGAGATTTATGTTAAATGAAATTTGCACGATAAAATTTACAATTCTTAAAATATAATTAATAAGGGCAAGTGAAACTAAAATATAGTTCAAGGTTAACCTTGATTGATTATTCATGTTTGTACTCCCTGTTGCCCTGCTCAATGATCCATGCTCCAGGCAATCAGTCATTTCTTTTAGTGTCTTAACGCTACATTCGGTAGATCCTGCAAGTGTTATGACACCACTAGAAGTTTCACGAATTTGTATTGGTGGTTTCCCTGGACTATTAACTTTTCCTGTCTGCCCATTTGTTATCTCAGATTTGTTACTGGAGTTGGGATCCAGCAAGTCTCGTACTTCTTCTTTTAGAATCTTCACATGAAAATCACTAGGTCAGACTTTTAACATGGAAAGCTATTTACAGTTTTACTTGTAGACACAGAAGGAATCAATTCAATGGCACAAACATAATAAAATAAACCAAGATATTGACACCAGCAATATAAACTTGAATGAACTCCCATGTAAGATATCCTAATGTGATTTATGACACTTTAAACAGCATTTTGCAAGAAAAAGCAGATTGTCACCGGAGAAATACACTTTCAAACATGGAGTCAGGAAGAAGCCGCAAACAGATGCAAACTTTGGCTGAATGCAGAACCATGATGCTATATAGTTTAAAGTATAACAATGTGTGATTTCCATCTCGTGGAATTTTTATGAGTATATCATGTACTTCAATTACAAAATATGTTCTCTTTCAACCATTTCTTCCATATCTTTTGCAGCACTGCCTTTTCTATACAACTTGATAGGATGGCTTTGTATTACAACACCCATTGTGAAAATATACAGAGAGTTGCTGTAATTTTTAAGGAAGTTTAAAAGAGTAGTACAAGTTTACTTCAACACACCTCAATGAAAGAAACATGCAATTGGAACTCTATTTGATGTTGTAAACTTCCAACTTTGTTGAATAAAGCACTCATAGCTTGAGGAATAAGCCCTGCTTGATAACCATCCTTGAATCCAGTACCCATGGTGTATGTCTTGCCTGACCCTGTCTGTGACATTTAGAATGTCAAATACTATCATAAAGAACAATATACATATGTATACACACACATACATGTACGGAGGTTCAAACGCAAATAGGCTGAGAACGTACTAATAAATGATTCATGTATCTTGATTAGTTTAAATTAATCAGAAACAGGAGTTCCTATTCACAAGAATATTATACCTGGCCATAAGCTAGAACAGTAGCATTATATCCTTGAAGCAGACCATCAACAAGAGGAGAAACACACTCTTCAAACATGGAAGAGGATGGGGAACCAGTGCTACCGTAAACATGATCGAAAGTGAAGGAATGTGTACCAAGTTGCACCTGCAACACAAAAAAGATTTAAGGTATATCCTAAAGGCAAGTAATTAACATATAATATGTTTGAGTAATACTTTCAAATGTGCTGATTATCAAAAACTGAGATTAAGTTAGGCATGCTGATACCCTCATTTTCTTCTCTTTATGCTTACATCTTCTCTAGTCGGCATAACATAGTGATGCGGACCTAAAAGTGCTTAGAAGCTGTCTTTACCATTCATAGTTCTCGTGATCAAATTTCGTACTTCAATATCCTAACGGCCAAACTATTTATCACAAACAATGTATCTGGGGCATTGCTCTTTCTTTTGTTCCTCCCCCCCCCCCCCCAATTTTTGCCTTCAGCAAATACAAAGGAGGAGAACAAAACATGCTGATAAGAAATCAGACTTCTGAAATGTGAAGAACATCGTGGGAAGCATTGACTCACTAAACATATGGCATCAGATGGGACAGGGAGGTTGCGAAGGGTCTTCTGTCCATTGTTTATTTGGGGCCTTCATAATAGCTGAAGGGTGCTCCAAATTGCATGCATAACCTCAAAGCCCAAAAGAAGTCACTCAGACCGACCCATTAAATCTTAGGCACTACTTGATTCAAAACAGCCCTTGTGTTCAATCGTGGCTGAAATTGCTTGCTTCTTGTATTCATAATGTAAATGATCGGTAATAGTTCCAACTGAAGAGAGTTCTGGGTAACATTTCGAGGATGGTGCACATCATATTTCCTCCAGTGAACAAAAGCAGGAGAAGAAGTCCCCTAGGGTGTACCTCAACACCTGATCTCACCCCGTTTATGCTCATCGCTTGCTGATTTCTCCATCTATTTTTCTTTGAGTTCTCAAATTCTATGCTTCCTTCTGCAAACTTACCATGTAAACTTCCTATCTTCTTTCTCCCGTCCTCCTCCCCCTTGAAATTTTATGAGATCTCTGCTTTGTCTCAAAGCTGAATTTCCTTGCATATGAATTTTGGAGTATCTCTGAGTTCTCAAATTTCTGAGAGCATCTTTTAATTCCTTGCTTCAAAAACCCCAGAACTCTGTTCCATTTATGTCGTTGAGGCATTGCGAAGATAACCAAAGCAGAAAGATATAACATTTAATACTGCAGTTGGGATGGAAGTAGTACTCTTACTGTCATATTCTAATGCGAGGACTTCATTTAAAAATGAATGTTTAATTGTTTAACTAACTCCTGTTTCTCTTATTACATGCTAAAGAAAGTGTAAATAAATCAACGATGGAGGTTTTGAGCAGTCTAGAAAGAAAATGGGTTCTCCGTTCCACATATCTTTACCGCAGTCCATGTTGCCACTTCCCTTGATATTTCTAGCAAGCACGGTTTTAGATCAGATACTAAAAAACTTTTGATATTACTAAAGCTGTTAATTTATTCACTGCAAACTTCCCGAAAAATGGAACTTTAATCAACAACCAATAGATTATCCTAAGGATGTCCCAAACACTTGAACAAGCCCGGATAAGAAGCCATAGTTTATTCAATAATGATTCATAGAAAATGGTCACATTGCGTAATGCAGAGGTGGCGTTCAAGAAAGAAGTTGGTGAGAGCTTGAAAGGGTTTTTTTTTTAATGGGAGGATAAGATGTCATTATCGTTCAATTTTACTGGTTAACTACCATGTCACAAGGGACTCTTTCTAAAGCAAATACAATACCGATAACTTACTAATTAAGGATCTCATACATTGTAAAATCAAAGCCTTTGTTCTAGAAATCACAGAACCCAAAATAGAGGGAACACCCATCGCTTACTTCAACTATAAGCATGTCCTGGATTTGGTAAATTACCACCAAAACAAAAATTTCCCAAATTTTGAATAATCCCATATTTGCAAGTAATTTCCCAAATTTTGAAATATCAATTTCCAATAAACACCATAACAAAAATTGTTCAATCAATCTCTAGATCATGAGAATTACGAACATGCATCACCTAACTCTGAGAATTTCTCCCACCAATCAAAAACATAGAAGAAGAAAAAAACCTATTGAATCATACTAGATTACCAGTCCCAGAACCCAAGCAATTGAAACAGTTCACACTGAGATCTACCAGATCTCCAATAACTCAAATCGAATTAACTTCAATGGTCAATCAAAACAAAAACAGAAAAAACAACTAAGAGTATAAAATCCATTAGAATTGGAGGAGAAATTGATCATATTGAAGTGACATTGTACGAGTAAGTAATAATTCACCTGAGGTTTTCCAGGTACGACGGCGACGCAATCTTTACATGCTTGAAGCTTCTCATCTCCAATCAGCGGTCGTATATGTACCGCTACTTTAACACAACAATCCTCCATGGGCGTCGTCGCCGGAGGCGCTTCCATCATGTGAAAAGAAGCGGTAAGATTGTCAGATGGAAAGTTGTTTCAGGAAACAGTTAAACAGTGTTTGGGAAAGAGAGAGAATGAAGATGGATTATGTGAGAAATGGAGTAATTTTTATGGAGCCCAGAAAGTGATACAGTAGCTCGTCAACAGGGACGAACAAAATCAGCACAGAGAGAGAGAGAGAGAGAGAGAGAGAGAGAAAGGGCAGTTGGGAGAAGAAGGTGTGTGTGTGTGTGTGTGTCAGTGTGTGTAGTAGACAGCAGCCCATAAACTTCTGAACCACTCTTTCCCAAATTGCCCTTCAACGGCTTTCCTTGCTCGGGTTCCCATGTTGGTTCTTTTAGGGTGCGTTTGGTACGCTGGACAGGGTGGAACAGGACAGGACAGAACACATTTGTCCTGTGTTTGGTGTGGCCTAATATTGGACTAAGTGGAACTAACTTGGCTAAACATTGGACAAGCGTGTTCCATCCCACCCCCCTGGAACTAAGTGGAACACAACCTATTTCCTTCATTACCCTTTCCCCACACCCGGCTGCAAGAAGAACAACCCTGCCTGATAGTTTGTCTCGATCGCTTCCAATCGCCGACGAGTTTGTCTCGATCGCTTCCTCTTGTCGACGGCCGGCGAGTTCCAATCGCCGGCGACTTCCAATCGACGGCGACTTCCAATCGCTCCGGCTACAATGTTGAAGAACGACCTAACCCTTTTCATCGCTCCATCGTCTCCATCGATCCCTCCTGTCGACGGCGAGTTTCAATCGACGGCCTCCATCGCCTCCATCGCCTCCATCGCTTCTCTTCTCTCCATACCCAGGTACACAATCGATCTGTGTAGTGAACGATCTGTGAGTAGTGAACGACATCTCCTTTCGTTCTTGATTCTAGGGTTCTTGTTAATTTCTTGTTAATTTCTGTGGGTTTTGATTCTAGGGTTCTTGTTGTTATCAACTGTTTATTCCATTTTAGCTCACTCTTATTCTACTTGACCAACAGCTTAGCCCTGTTAATTTCATTTGCCCTGTTAAATATGCTACTTGATTGATTTATGCTACTTGATTCATTTGCAAATTTGATCGATCCTAGGACCATGTCACAGTCTTCCAAAATTCAGCAACATGTTTGCTGTGTGGACCTTGTAGATATAAATCTT